CCCTCCTGGCTCCTTTGGGGATTCCTGGGTCTTCTGAAGGACCCTCCACCCTCCAGGCATTTATTTGCTTTCTCTCTCAAGTGGATCTTTTGATGTCTATAAAGGGTGCTTCTCTCGCTGAAGCTCTTTCCGCACTCCAAGCACTTATAAGGTTTCTCTCCCGAATGGGTCTTTTGATGCTTATGAAGGTGATGCTTCAGAGAGAAGCTTTTTTCACACTCCAGGCATTTATGAGGCTTTTCTCCAATGTGGATTATTTGATGTCTAGAAAAGCTGCTCCTATAATTGAAGCTTTTTCCACACTCCAGGCATTTAAATGATTGATCTCTTGAGAGGATGCTTAGATGCATTTTAAGATTTCCATTTGTTTTGAAGGATTTTTCACATTCCAGGCACTGATATTCTTTCCTCCCTCCTGTATCCTTCGGGGTCTCCTAGGTCTTCCGAAGGACTCTCCGCCCTCCAGGCATTTATTCAAATGGACCTTTTGATGTCTATGTAGGTTTCCACTCCTATTGAAGCTCTTTCCACACTCCAGACATTTGTAACGTTTCTCTCCTGTGTGGATTCGTTGGTGTGTGTAAAGGTTGCTGCTATGTGTAAAGCTCTTTCCACACTCCAGGCATTTATATGGTTTCTCTCCTGTGTGGATCTTTTGATGTCTATAAAGGCTTCCCGTCTCGCCGAACCTCTTTCCACACTCCAGGCATTTGTGAGGTTTCTGTCCTGAGTGCATCCTTAGGTGCTTTTGAAGATGTGAATTTCTTTTGAAGTGTTTTTCGCATTCCGGGCACTGATATTCCTTTCCTCCCTCCGGGATCCTTTGCGGAATCCCGGGTCTTTCAATGGATCCTCCACCCTCCAGGCATTTATTCAGTTTCTCTCTCCAGTGGATTTTTTGATGTCTCCAAAGGGTTCCCAACTGTCTGAAGCTCTTTCCACACTCTAGGCACTTAGAACGTTTCTCCCCTGTGTGGATCCTTTGATGTGTATAAAGGCTTCTCCTCTTACTGAAGCTCTTTCCACACTCCAGGCATTTATAAGGTTTCTCTCCTGTGTGGATTCTTTGGTGTGTGTAAAGGTTGCTGCTATGTGTAAAGCTCTTTCCACACTCCAGGCATTTATAAGGTTTCTCTCCTGTGTGGATTCTTTTGTGTACGTAAAGGCTGCTTCTATATCTGAAGGTCTTTCCACACATCGGGCATTTGTGAGGTTTTTCTCCTGTGTGGATTCTTTGGTGTGCATAAAGTTTGCTGGTATGACTGAAGCTCTTTCCACACTCCAGGCATTTATGAGGTTTCTGTCCCGAGTGGATGATTAGATGGCTCTGAAGATGGTCCTTTCTTTTGAAGGATTTTTCGCATTCCGGGCACTGAAATCTCTTTCCTCCCTCCTGGATCCTTCGGGGCCTCCCGGGGCTTCTGAGGAACCCTCCGCCCTGCAGGCCCGTCTCGGGGTCTTCGCTCGTGTCCTTCTCCCCGCATCGCCCTCCGCGCAGCCGCCTTTCCCGGGGTCCCCCTGGGCTCATCCCACATGCAGCCCAGGGGCCTCGAGGCCTTTCCCCGCCGTCGCCCATGGAACCCGCGACGGGGCCGGGCAGGGCTGCTCCGCGGGGGCCGCTCTCCTCCTCCTCCTCCCGGGCGGCTCCTCCATCCTCCTGAGGGGGAGAAAGAGAGGCGGGTCACGGCTGCGTCCCCTTCCCCGCAGGGGAGGCCCAGGCCGACGCCTCCGCCTCTCACGGGCCTTCCGGCCTTGCTTGAGGCGGACCCGGCCTCCCTCCAAGCGTCGCCCCCGCCAGTCTAGGCCTCGCACTCCCAGGCCTCCCTTCTCATGAAAAAAAACCACCCCGGACTGCGACTCCCAGCATCCCCTGCGCCAAACCTGCATCATCCGGGCTCTTCTCTCGCCGATTCCGGCGGCGGCCTCCTCTCCCGTCTAATTTCCGGCGGCTACACGCCCTTTTCCCCGGAAGTTCCGCTGTGGGCTGTGCCAATGGAGGAACCGCCCCGAGCAGCCTTTCTACCAATCGGCGTCCTCCTTTCGCTAAAGAGCCGGGGGGCGCCTGCGCAGTGCGGAATGTCTGCCTGTTCCCCCGCGTCCAGTCTGGCGGAGGTCGGGGGTCCCTTCTGGGGCTGCGGCTTTCCCCCCTCCGGGGTCTCCCCCTAGGCAAGGCGGGGCGAGCTGGGGCACATCCAGGCAGGGGAAAGTGAAGGGGCTCCGCTTCCTCCTGGGGGACTCCGGCCAGGCTCCTCCGCCGCCTCCAGGTAGCGAGGGGGAGCCCCCCAATCTAGCTCCCTCGCCCCCTTTTCCCGTCTCCCCCCC